GAGAATAAAGTCATAATATTACGAGAATAAAGTCATAAATCTACGAGAATAAAGTCATAATATTACGAGAATAAAATCTTGACTCGATTTACTTAGATTTAAGACTTAATTCTCTGAGACTTTATTCTCGTAGATTTACAACTGAATTCTCTGTAAACACATGAAAACGTAAGTTCAGCTGAAACAAAGTCGATTAATCGATTGACAGAAAATAATTGTCAACCATTTTGATTATTGATGTAATTTTTTTTACGCAAAAATGCACAAAGCATTTCATGTGTCCAGATTCTGAAATGCCAGGATTTGCAAAACTTTAGTTACTAGTTACTTTGCAGATTTAGTTGATGTTGATGGATTGTTTTTTTTAATACAGGGCCACATTATTGTCCTCTACTAGATTTTATTTGTATTTTTGTTTCTTAGGGGGTGAAAATGTTTTCCTATATTTTTGTATACATGTTGTTTTCTTACATATGAAAACTACTAAACAATTAGGGGGAAGAAATATCTGAGTCCTCATTCCACCTGTGGTTACCTCAACAAACTGAACCATCCTTACTGTCATAGTCCAGCTCTGACCTGCAGTACTCCAACATGGCCGCTAGGGGCTTCACTCGCATCACCATTCCCAAACCAACTTCATGCTGCGACAGTGAACACCGAAAAGGCAACACCCGAGGAGAACAAAACCAGACTGTGTGTGTGTGTGTGTGTGTGTGTGTGTGTGTGTGTGTGTGTGTGTGTAACAGCACAGCAGCTCACCGGGACAATGAGCCGTATCAGACAGCACAGTGTGAGGTGTTAGTGTGTGCATGTAACGCCATGTTTGCCTGTGAAGGAGACGACATTGTCTGCATTTTGGTCCAAGATGAGCAGCGGCAGTGTGAGTTGTCTCATCATTATGTGCTTTTATGTATCAGCTGCAGCAGGGGATGAATCTGGATATGAAAGAGTCGGGTTGTTGCATGTCATGTCTGCACTGCTCCTGTTTTACATCATTATTATACCGAGTCTTTATTGTCGACAGAGATACAGGATGCTGAGGGGAGGCGTTGCATGTGTTGCTAGGATACTAGACAGGGAGGGGGCTGATGGGATTCACTGAGGTCAGACTTGAGTGGAATTAATGTGTTTCTTGTCTTTTTGCGTCTTGTGTGACTCAACAGAAACGAGAGAGGGAGCAGAGGAGGAAGCTGCAGCACTTCCTCAGTGACCTGGCCTTGCTGGGATCATTACAGGTCAGTGACTGCACATGTAGAGAAGATTAAACACACATGATCAAACCATCATTTGCAGATAATCTTGTTTGTGTTGCAGGGCTTTAAATACTTCCAGCCTTGGCTCAGAGGGAAAGAGGAGCTGCTGCTGACGGTCGTTAATGAGGATCTGGTTAGTTTCATCTCGCTGCGTATTTCCTCATGTGTTCATCATCATCACCATCTGTGACTGAGTGACCTCATACCTGTTCTGCAGGGTTGGCGTTCCCCAGGGTTTGCAGTCTCCAGAGCCTCCTCCTACTCGTCCACCAGCAGCCAGAACAGCAGCGATGTGTCCCCCAGCAGCAGCTCCCCCAACCTGGACAGCCGCAGCAGCTCTCCCCTGCCTGGGGAGCCTCAGGGCCCACGAGACCCTCCGGCACACGCTCACACCAAGGCGCAGCCACAGACTGTCAGGTGTGTGCCACATGTTTATATCTGAAACTGGGCTTGTGTCATAGCATCTTCATGAACATCCGTTGGTGCATCACTTCCTGTTAGTCCTGTACAAAACAAAACAATATGTCAAGGCTTTCAGTGAGGTAGATGGTGTCTCTGTGGCATTTGTTGTACACGATTGTAGTCATTACAATGATGCTTTGATGCAGCCTAATGCTCGCTAATGTCGCCCAGCGTCCACTTTCAATGAATATAGTGCAATAGTGCTGAAAATCAACTGACAAACAATCATGTAATAATCCATTAATTGTTTAAATATTAGGGTCAAGCAAAACAAAAGTGATTACAGCTTCTAAAATGTGAGGCTTTGCTTATTTTTTCAATTAAAAAAGTTACATTTATTTCTATGGGAAGCATTACTAATCTCTCATTGTTAAAGGAATACTACTACTCCCACAAAATGATCATTTGTATATCAGTTACTTACCCCGTGTTATATTGAATTCATGAGGAAATAATTGTTTTTCTATCATGGGTCCATGGAATAAAAGGGATCCAAGAACTGGGAAAATTCTTGATGAATTGAACTCATAGGGGTCCACGTTTAACAACAGCAACACTATATCAAAACATCTGTTATCAAACTAGCACACCACTCAAGCAGTATATTCCAAGTCTCATTTATCCAGTCGTATGATCAGTACTCCACAAACACATGCATTTTCTCCAAAACCCTGTATTTAATACTAAACTTAATGTAAAATTTGCCAATGCTCCTTTCAAAGCCAGACTTGTACTCGTACTCGTCGTCCTCCACTTATCCGGGTCTGGGTCGCGGGGGCAGCAGCCTCACCAAAGAAGCCCAGACAGTCCTCTCCCCAGCCATTCCCGTCAGCTCTTTCGAGGGAACCCGAGGCGTTCCCAGGCCAGTCGGGTGATGTAGTCCCTCCAGCGTGTTCTGGGGCAGCCCCGAGGTCTCCTCCCGGTTGGACATGCCTGAAACACCTCCCAAGCGAGGCGTCCGGAAGGCATCCTTACCAGATGCCCGAACCACCTCAACTGGCTCCTCTCGATGAGGAGGAGCAGCGGCTCTACTCCGAGTCCCTCCCGGATGTCTGAGCTCCTCACCCTATCTCTAAGGCTGAGCCCAGCCAACCTGCAGAGGAAACTCATTTCAGCAGCTTGTACTCGCAATCTCATTCTTTAGGTCACTACCCAAAGCTAGTGACCATAGGTGAGGGTTGGAACGTAGATCAACTGGTAAATCGAGAGCTTCGCTTTCTGGCTAAGCTCCCTTTTCACCACAACGGACCGGTTAAGCGCCTGCATCACTGCTGACGCCGCCCCAATCCGTCTGTCAATCTCCCGCTCCACAGCCAGACTCCATCGACAAAAGCAGTAATTTTACCTTGCTAAACACAGGAGATGCTGGTCTACCAGCTCCATCAGTTAGTTAGTTTGTGTTATTGTGTGACTTTAGGCCCGTTTCCACCGCAGGAACTTCGGGGTAATTTTACGGGGCCGGGGCCGTTGGTGCGTGTCTCCACCGCAGGAACCATCCCCGAAGGACAGAGTTCCAGAACTTTTACAGGGGCTAAACAAGTCCCTGCCTCGGAGTAGGTACTCAGAACGGCCCTGAAAAACTCCTGGCTGGGGCTTGGGGATTACTTGGTGCTGATTGGATATACTCAAGGAGGGATGTGACGTCAACAGAAAGCAACAAAATAGCCGTCATTTTTAAAACTCAGCAGACGAGGGTTAGCTCGTTCATATAGCTTCCTCCACCATGTAAACAAACTCAATAACCGGTCTGTGAAAAATTATTTTTTCCAGCAGATATCTTAGTTAGAACATGATTGAGCTAGCAAAGCAGTTTTGTGTTGCTATGTGTGGTATTTATTCAGTTTTGGGAAATCACGATGTCTAGAAAGCATCAGTTGCTGCAGCTGACAGGGACAGCTAACAGCAGCAGCAAAGCTAACATCAGGACGTCATCTGTTAAAAGCCTCCCGTTGTCAGATACGACATGAAACTACTCCAGTTAGCTCAATCATGTTGTAACTAAGACATCCGCTGGAAAAAATATTTTTCCCCAGGCCACTTCGTGAGTTATTACAGACACCGCTATCGGCTAACAGCTAACGGCGTCCCTACGTCGCCCCAGTCAAAATGGTCGCACAACGATTACGTCACATCCAGAGCCCGTAACTTTACAGGAACCTTCCTCCTACGCCGCTCTCTCAGTGGAGACACGGCAGTTGAGAGGGCCGAGCGAGAGGACGTTCCTGTAGTAGTTCCTGCCCCTTAAATAGTACCAGGAACTTCTTCAGTGGAAACGGGCCTTTTGGTGTTTTAAAGTAGCAGTGTGTAAGTTTTGGGGGGATTTAGTGCCATCTAGTGGTGAGGACTGCAGATTGCAACCAGCTGAAACTTCTCCTGGTTAGAGTTCCTTCAGTGATCATTGATCAGGAGGTTTTTACCAGGAGCTGAATTTTCCACAGATGTCCCCTCGTCTCCAAAACAAACGCACCCAGTGATTTAAACCAGTAAAAACACTGAATAAAGCAGTATTAAGCAGGTTCACATTACAAATAAATGTAGAAGATGTGCGGCTCGCCAATCACATGCTAACATGCGCTCACCTCTTTTCTCTGAGAACTTGAGATCCAGACGTGCAAGAGGTTTTTTTTTGGCAGTAGAACAGGAAAACGCAGGTAATATAGCAGCAGGTGTGTGACGGGGGAAGCAAACAGTTTTTTGACCGTGTTAAGTGTGGCGGGAATGGAAACTTGGACACTAGCCTGTGACGGACTCCGAAACTGTAAAGTGGAAACTTACCTGAGATGAATTATAGACATATAATGTTTTACCTGTGTGAAGGTGAGCACGTGTTATAATAAATGGGTCACCGCACTTATAGAAATGTGATGAATTGGACTTTGGTTTATTGTTGTTCCCCAGAAAACGAGTCCGAACAATTTCTCACTGTTCGCCCCTCTACATAAACAGCTTAATCTAAGACAACAGAAACACAGCATTATTTATTTTCAGGTGATTATAAGCTAAAGAAAACATACTTATTATATTATATTACATTTCTGCCAATATATCCTCCTAAACCCTACACACTGGACCTTTTAAAGTCTTGGTTCGGATTCACCAAAGTGTGATCGAGGCAGTGGTAGACCAGCAGCTCCTTCAGGGAGGTAAAATTACTGTTTTTGTCAATGGAGCCTGGCTTTGATGAGAACGTACGTAAGTCTCACTTTCAGGTCAGGTCAGGTCCTCGTCAGAAAAAGCTGTTTGTTTGGAAAGTCCTGAGCATACCAGTGAATAACAAAGACTTGAATCATACTGCACAAGTTGTGTGAGAGTTTGTAAACAGGTGTTTTGATATAGTTTTGCTGTTGTTAAACGTGGACCCCTATGACTTCAATTCATCAAATATTTTCTCTGTTTTTGGATTTTTCGTTTACTCTGAAGGCTTGTGAGAAAAAGTAAGTTTTCTTCAAGAATTCAACGTAACACAGGGTGATTAATCGATATACAAAAGATCATTTTGTGGGTGAAGTGTTCCTTTAAGTAAAGACTACTACTGAGGCTTTGAACAAAGAGCCTTACAGCTCCGAGGTGCAGATGTTCGTGTGATAGACTCACACAGTGCAGACATTATACACAAACACAATGTTGGACGTCTTTCTCTGTCCTCAGGGACCCCAGCAGCGAGGAGCATCTCCTCCCAGCCTCCCCCAGTGAAAGAGAGATAGCAGTGCCTGTGAGTGCGTCAGCCAGTCTCACTTTAACAACCACTAACTCGCCTGCTCAAGTCTCACGACCTCGACTTTGTCCTCCCCACAGGAGGTGAACTGCACTCTGTTTTTACTGGCCGGCTACGTCAAGTACGGACGCCCCTACGCCTGGATACGCTCCAATCACGAGCGCCTGGTCAACATCGGCGGCACGGATTCAATGGTCAAGGACACGCCCATGAAACTCAAGTCCATCGCAGACTGGCAGACACGAGGTATGGAAACAATGTGAGGAATCCAAACATGAGAGAGCTATTGTTTCACTGCACAGATTCAATAATTACAACTTTTTCCATGAGCTTAATCAGACGCAGATGTCTTTGCTTGAGTTTAACCTTCTCAGAGACTACTGTTTCGTCTGGATTAGCTTGGTGGAAAAAGCTCTGGGTGCTTTGGTCGTAAAATTACTCTGCACTGTTAGACTGTTACAAATATTTATCTCAAAAAGCATCTCTGTGTCGTGTTTACTGCTGTTGTTTTCAGGTATTCGTGTGTGGGACGTCATCAGTGAGCTGGTGTGTCTGTGCACTGTCCCCTCTCCCTCCAACCCCTTCGCCCTGGACATGCGCTACATCAAAAGCCTTCCCCTCCCCGACCGCTTCCTCGTCACAGGTGCTCTCCTTAACTTCCTGGACATGTACGTGGTTTACGGAAACAGGGACGAGATGCACTATGACAAAGGTAGGCATCATTTGATTTTAATACACCATCATTAATATTATTTTTATTGAAGCCAGCAGATGATGCTGTTTAGCTACGTTACAAATGGATCCCTCCTCACACTCCACTCTTGAATTTCAGGGCATCAGTGAATGTTTTCTGATGATGGTTTTCTACTTTCAGTGGTGGAGGAGGTGAAGCCTCTGAGGCGTCTCCACGTCCAGTCCCTGCTGGAGTTACAGCGGCACAGAGAGGGCACCGGGTCAGAGAGCAGTCCCACAGTGGAGGACTCTGCCGGAGAGAAGTGACTCTGATTGTTTGTGTATGATGCGCATTCAGATGAAATATTATGGGTGCACTTCTACTGACTTTTTGTGAAAAAGAAAAGACAGTAAATAGATTCAAATGTCTGATATGTCATCAGAACAACTGAATTTAGGTTATTTGTTGTATTGTGGTTATTCTAAAGACGACTATGGATGAGCATGAGAACCCAAGTACTCAATTTGGACGTTGTTGAACGTATAGAGTAATCGCCACCCACATGTGAACATAACTTTTTTTTACTGTCTAAAATGGATAAAACCTTGTGATGTTAACTTACCGGTTACAGACAGTTTGGACCACACAGTAGAAGGTTTCAGCCTAAATTTGTTGGGTCTGTATAACAGCTCGGTGTTGGATGTTAGCCGCTGCTGCTGCTGTGTTAGCTCATGCCAACTGGATAGATATTGGAGACGGTCCTACAGTACTGTGTCTAACCTGTGTAATGGCAGCAACAGAAGGTTTGCTAATTTATGGTTTAATAGGCTAATTGAAGCTGTTGTTGAATAAATTTTGTTGTTGGCTAATTTACATTTCTATTCTTACCTTATGCTTTTTTTCTGTGGGTACTTAAGTACTTTATAATAATTTAATGCGAGTACTCGAATACAGAAATTACTCAAAATACCCATCCATTGTACACACTGGGCAAACCTTTTTTTTCCAAGGCCACACAGTGCACTTGGAGCTGTATCTTTAGCCCTTTTTACACTGCCACTGTTCTATAAAAAAGGTACATTCGTGGCATGGGGTAATGGAGTTGTCTCGCCTTTAAGCCAGCAGTGTAGATAGTAACAGTGCCGAAACGATGCCGGACGGGATCACGGACAGGATGGGTGTGACAATCTTTTTTTTTTTTAGATTCTTTTTTGGGCTTTTTTATTCCTTTATTGGACGGGACGGATTAGGCGTGAAAGGGAATGACATGCAGCAAAGGGCCGTGGGCTGGAATTGAACCTGTGGCTGCTGCGGCAATGATATTGCCTTTGCACATGGGATGCCAGCTCGACCCACTGAGCTCCTAGGTGCTGTAACAATCTGACATTGTGTTGTTTGCAACCCACGCCCGGGAGATTTAAAAAGCAGTTGATAGCAGTTAGCAGCTAACTCAAAGAAGAACAGGGGCCGAAGATGTATGCAGGTCCGTGAGCTTCTTCCCCCGTTGAGCACAAGACAGGCTCAACCACCATATATCAGGGCTCGTTAATGATTTAAATTGATGTGTTTATGCCGTTTTTATCGCTTATAAAGCGCTGCTGAAACATATGTTATATGTCACGCTAGGGGCCAATGCTATTGTGTTACATGTCACGCCTGTCATGGCTCTTTTGATGCCACCATGCCGGCATGCTTTATTAATCCCCTAGGCTAAATTCAGTGTTTTCACTCTGTTGTCATACACACACAGGCCCTAAACACACACATGCACTAACATTACCAATACACGCATTAAATGGAGAGATGTCAGAGTGACGGAGCTGTTTTGGAGAGACGCCCCGTGCAGTTGGGGGTTCGGTGCCTTGTTGAAGGGCACCTCTGCAGTGCCCAGGAGGCGAACTGGCACCTCTCCAGCTACCAGTCCATGCTCCATATTTGGTCCAGACAGGGACTTGAACCGGCGACCCCTACACTGGAACAGTGTGATACTGTTTGGTTCTTTAGAAAAATGCAAAGACAGCATATAGGAGGGACTTCATAGCGGCTCTATGGCACCATCTCTGTGTAGAAAGAGCTTGTACCTTTACCACAGTTAGTGGTAGATAGTCACATGTATGAGCTGTTGAAATGTGAAAACACTGGAGAACTAACCCTGGGAATTGAGTCACATGGCTGAAATCTAACATCCCAGGACCTCTCTGAATGTCTTGCCCTGCTGCCACCCCCCAAACCTCTCAATCCTGCCCTCCCACACACACACTGAGCTGCTTCAGGCCAAATATAACATCTTAAAAGCAAAGCAAAATGGAGTCAGGGTCAAAGCTGGTTAAATATTTGTCTTGAAAGTTACAGTGGTACAAAAATAAACATGTACACACAAACAAATGTTGTATAAAAAGTTTTAATACTCCATAAAATACATATTAATTAAATATGTACAATGACATAAAAACAGTACATTGATAAAATACGCTTTAAAGCAGGCACTTTGACCCCTTTTTCTGAGATGGGGGCTGCGCCGTTTGTAATGGAGAAGATACATCATGAATACAAAAATGTTAACTGATAAAAACCTTGTGGCACATCAGTCAAAAACACCTTTCCTATAATAATAAAAAAACAAAATAAAAGGCGACATCGCTAGCTTAGTTGTGGTCAGCAAACACAAAATGACATGGTAGCCTCGGGGTGTACCACTAATCCTCATGTCTTTGTAAACCTTAAGACTGAATCATGAGGGCATCTTATGCAACGCCGCAGACATCACTGCCTTTAACCGTCACTTTAAATAGTCAGGGCACCTTTTATGGCTTTGGTAATGTGAACGAGTCGAAGGCTTAGGGAGCACTGGTCTCCTGACGAGGCTGCTCACTATGCAAAGTCATGGCTGGACATTTCTCAAATTTCCCCCCCGTTTGGAATGCAGGTGCACGGCCGCACATTCCTCACAGAGGCTCCACACGGGAACACAGCGTTCCCAGTGTTCGGACACAAACAAACCCGCAAGTCATGGCTGAGTGTGCTTTTCTCCACGTAAATGTAAATTATTCATGGCAGTGGACAGTTGGGATCTGTTTTTTGTTTTTGCAGGATGCTGCTGTGGTACCTGAGGGGAGGATTTTGTTGACCCTGCAGGTTCTGCTAAGGTCTATATTTTTCCATTTATAATGCAGGTGCTGCTGCTGACCTCTTCAGATGGCAGGAAGATAAAACGTCTGATGACCTGACGAGGAATTAAACTGATGCGTTCAGATATAAACATTTTACAGGAAGTGCTCAGAAATTATCGTGTATGTGTGCACTAATACAAAACCATAATGCATTCATTTGAGAAAAGAAATTGTCCTTTTCCTCAGAATTTTGAGATAATCTCGTTCATTCGGACAAAGATTTCAAGAAAAAAAATCCATTCTTTTTTTCGGAATAAAAAAAAATATTTCAGAATTCTGAGAAAAAATTTAAGGGACAATAAAAATTCTGCTTGTGTTTCTGAATTAATAAAATATTATTGATAATTCTCAATTTTCTACTTTCTATTTTAACAAGATAATAAACTCAAATGCTGAAAAATTTGCAGAATTTATTATTAATTTCCCTTTTTTTTTTTTTTTTTACAAATTAATAAGATAAATATCTGGTTATGAAAATTCTGAGATAATGATTTCATTATTTCTCTTTTTTTCTGAATTAATAAGATAATTATGTGGTTAACTGAGAAAAAGCAAAAAAAAAATTAGAATTCTGAGATAATAATCTCATTAATTCTCAATTTTCTTAATAAGATACTTATCTGGTAAATTCAGAAAAACAGGCAGATTTTTTTTTAATGAGTACTCTGAGATAATAATTTTGTTTTTTTCTGGATTATTAAATAATTATCTGGTTAATTTAGAAAAACAAGAGCATTATTTCTTTCCACGAAATCTCCTCTCAGAATTTTGAAAAAATAATTTTGTTAATTCTTGTTTTTCTGAATTAAGATACTGATGTGGTTATTTAGGAAAAACTAGCTAAAGATTTTTGCCATTTAAAAACTTTTTTTTTTCCAGAATTCTGAGATAATTATTTTTAATTAATTTTCATTTTTGTAAATAAATAAGAATTATCTGGTTAAATTAGAAAAACATGCAGATTTTTTTCCTTAAAAAATCCTGAGATAATAATTTTCTTAATTCTCGTTTTTGTAACTGAATAAGATACTTATGTGGTTAATTAAAAAAAAAAAAAAAAGCTGAAAATATTCCCATTCATTTTTTTTAAATTCTGAGATAGTGTCTTAATCTCAGTAATTCTCATTTTTCTTAATTAATAAGATAATTACTTGGTTAAGTCAGAAAAAAATGAGCATTATTTTTCCATGAAATCTCAGAATTATGAAATAAAAAAGGGGCAATTTTTTTCTCAAATGAATGCATTATGCTTCCCTACATTAAAAACTGTAATTAAATGTACTTGACGTTTTTATAGCATGCCTGCATTTTCCCTCTCTATCTTTACATCTGTTTGTAATCTCGGCCAAAACTCTCACAACGTAGATTAAAAAAGGTTTCATGGTTTAGTCCATCTGATTCAAAAATAAAAAGATAAACATCCTAGTGCCACAGGGTTAAAATAATAACATAAAATCATCATGACCTGTCACATATGTCAGTTAAATAAAAATCCGCCTTCTAAAAACAAAAAAGATAAAGCTCTTTGCCTCTTTCCAGTTTTTAGTCATCATCTGTGGATCATTTGGCCGACAGCTGCTGTTGTTGCTAGTTTAATTATCTGCTTCCAGCAGACCAAACTCTTCGGTGGCTTCAGTATCAAGCAGACTACTTCAAAGCAAACAAGCCGACCAAAAATGAAAGAGTTACGGAAACGAACCAGCCCGGTCCACAAACGGCTCGCAGCCAGTCACAGAGCTGCTGACAGGCGAACAAAGGCAGCTGTCGACAGCATGTTGTGCTACATCGGACATCACTCTTGCAACCGTCAACTCTGCTGCGTGAAAAACCTTCAAGTCCATACGTTCACTGATTCAGGCGACACCCTCTCACAAGCAGAGTCCTCATTCATCCAAATATGGACCTTTCACACCTCCCAGTTTCAGTCCCTTTGTCCTCCCGTCTGTCCTGTAATCACCCTCCCTCCCATCAGTGCCGTCATCCTTGAGGTTGTCTTCAGGTTAATGTGGTCCCATGTTTGAGGGGTTAAAGTGGCGGGAGTTCAGTTCCAGCTGTCAGAGGCAGATCCTCTTCTGGTGATGGCTCTCAGGGGGCTGCGAGACACAGAGCCCCTCTTCTTCCAGCGAACTGAAAAGGAAGAGACACACAGAGTCAGTGATGAGTCAGTGGTGAGTGGCTCGGCAGCTGCGGATGAAACACCGGTGTTAAAATGTTAATCATGAACATCCAAGCAGCCCCACGAGTTTGTCAACCTTGACTCTGAAAGTGTCCTGGTGAGGGTATTCATTTACTGTTCTCCACTTCAGCACTTGGTTTTCATTACTTTCACTAAATGTGCTCGCTGCAGTGGAAATCTTATCTGTCTGCACAGCTTGGAGAGCAAGAGGAGAGAGTGATAACGACACTTAATCAAGGAAATGGCTCTTTATTCAACCATTAAAGGCCTTTGTGGTTTAGAACTATTTAGCCCTACAAAGCCAAAACACCGTAACTAAATAATTTATCAAAACTGAGTCAAAAAATAGTCTAAAATTTTGACATCTATTAAAAAATATAACTTATTTGGTATAAAAAGTATTAGTTTGGTAGGGGAAAAATAGTAAAACTCGCAAGAAGAGGAAAACCAAGGCTAGCTGGGATGCTAGCCTTAGCTAAATCTACTTTAGGGTTTCCTCTAAATGAAAAGTGCCCCAACATCTTAAT